CACCTTGCCCGGCTAGTTTTTTGTATTTTCTTCAATAATGAGAACGAGGTTTCACCGGAAGTTATGCCCAGGCATTGAATGTCTCGATCGTCCCCCTGAGCGCTCCGTTGAGAGGCCGCAGGGTTGTGAATCTCAGCTTTGGCACATTCTAGCTGTGCGCGTACGTTCGGGCAATGGAACATAATCTGTCCTGAGCCTCAGTGTTGTCTTCTGCAGATCAAGGTGCTAACACTCTCATAGATTTGGGGGGGCCCGTCGGCAATTAAACAAGGGTCTGCCAAAGGTGTGCGTGGGATTACAGCAAATGGCTTGACAAGCCAGCCGCGAGTCTCTACTGCCCGGCCCTTAAACCTCCGTGCGAATACAATGCTTATATTTCTATATATATATCTCTCTTTATATATATATTTTGAGAGAGTGCACAGAGTCTCGCCTTGTTGGGAAGGAGTCGTGGCGCGCTGCGTAGAAAGCTGTCGCCAGGCAGGCTGGAGAGTATGTCAGGAATATCTCTATATATGAGGGACCACGGCGAGTATTCTCAGACACTATCCACTGAGGCATACATGCTACCGGCGACCTGCCACCGGTTCACTGCCCATTCTCCTGCCTCAGCCTCTCCGACAGTAGTTTGTCCTTGGTACCTCAACAGCGCCAGGGCAGCACTCGCCCGGCTAGCATTTTTTTGTATACACATACACACATTTTTAGTACAGACGGGAGCGAGTGCCTTATTCGAACACACAGCGAGTGTTCAGTCTCAAGGGATATGAGCTACTCTGTATATCTGTCATTACGGTGACATCGTTTTTTAAAACAAGACATACCCTAGCGCCTCGCTCTTTCTTCTCTCCGCGAACTCCTGCACACCTACTCTCACAAGCTCTGCAAGTGCTTTGGGACATCTAAGCAGCATAACGGCTTGAGCCATCCTCCACTTCTGAAAGGGGCGCCCTCGCGGTTCCGATCTATATATCAACATCTTTTGCTTTACCCCGTGCATGTCGGAAGGTTCGCACACAATAATTCGAGGGCCTGACTCAGATAACCAGGACAGGATGTCTAGCACACAATTCCCTCACCCCCGGGACGCCTTAGCATACACAGCAGACCCTATTAGGTCTTAAACTCCACTATTATACGTAGTGCACTCAATAGATGTATCTGTGTGCCCCTGGGAGAACAGTAGTACAACATGCGCACATCACCAACCATACAAACGAGAGACGAGAAGGCGAGGAGCGAGATATATATCGAGAGAGAGTTCCCACACAACCTGCTCCAGCCCGGCGCCCAACGTCATCCTCTTTAGTGACCAGTTTTGGGAAGTTAAGCGCTCTAGGTTCTGTACTGTAATGTATAGGGGTCCTCGGTGACGAGGTGCTAGACAATCCTGTCGCTGGTTACTCTGAAGTCAGGCATACATTTTACGCGAACCCAACCGGCATAGAAAAAAAGGGGGGTACACTCTCTTACGCGTAAAAAAGCTGCTATCGGCCCGGAGCGCGGTGCTCCGGAGGCTCGTAATCCCAGCACTTTGGGAGGCCGAGCAAAGGGGCGGATCAGCGAGGTCGGAAAGTGCGAGACCATCACTGATGGCGACACGGTGAAACCCCGTCTGTACCTAAAAAAATAGCAAAAAAAACTAGCCGGGCGAAGGTGGCGGGCCGCCTGATATCCGAAGCTACTCGGGAGGCTGAGCGGCAGCAGAAAGGCATGACGCGCGGGAGGCGGAGGCATTGGCAGTGAGCGCTGAGATCCGGACCACTGCACTCCCCCAGCCTGGGAGACAGAGCGATGACTCCGTCTCCAAAAGGAAAAAAAAAGAGGAACAACAAACAAAAAGCTGTCATCGGACCGGTGCGCCGGTGGCTCAAGCTGTAATCGCCAGGCACTTCTGGGAAAGGCCGAGCGGGCCGGATTCACCGAAGGTCAGGAAATGAGACGCATCCCTGGCTAGCCACCCGGTGAAACCACCGTCTCTATTAACGAAATACAAAACCTAGACGCGTGCAACGGTGGGGGCCGGGCCGCCTGTAGTCCCAGCTAGCACGGGAGGGCTATGAGGCCGGAGAATGGGGGCGTAACCGACGGGAGCCGGAGGCTTGCCAGTCGAGCCTGAAGATCGTGCGGCCACTGTAGCTCCAGCCTGGGAGACGCAGATGGGCGAGACTCCGTCTCAAAAAAAAAAAAAAAAAAAGAAAAGCTGTATCCTAGAAGAAGGGCCTAAGTATGAAGAGAACAAATCCTAAACCTCTCTGGGATTCCGTCTTCCCACAGGTGAAACAGGCCTAGAGGGGAATTCAGCGGTACAACCCTGTGCCAGCCCCCACCCCATCCTGGGGACTCATTATTCTGTCCTCCCGAAGGCATGGTGGAGCTGGGCGGCCAGTAAGCAGCATCCTCAAGGGCAAGACTGCTCACAGCTCCGAGGGGCCCGGGAAAGGCCACGCAAGTGGGGGTGAGGATTGGGGGTGCTGCATCCGTGCCGCAGGTTCCAAATGGTAAAAGTTTGCCGCCAACCCGTTCCTGGGATCGAGCCCCGTCAAGAGTCCAACTCTTACAATTGGAGACTTGGTGCTACCACCTCTCACTCCCCAGATGGTCGGGGAGAGGCGGGAACAGAACGTGGCAGCTTTACTAAGGACCCAGCAGACGCCAGAAGCTCCAGGGAAGGGAGTTCCGCGGCCCTGGACCAGCCCCCCACACGCCCTGACCCTCGAACGCACCAGCCGCTAAGACCGCACCTCAGCCTCCTCTACTGGGCCCCTGGCCCCCCACTGTCTCTTCCTGCGGATCCGTAGTCCATGCAGCCGGCGTCCGCGATCAGTCGGTCGGTCGGCACCTCGGCGAAGCTTGTCGGGGCGGCCAGGGGTCCAGGCGTGGAGGTCAGCGCTGGGGGGAGGCGGGGCCGCGGGGCGGGCTGCGGCGGAAGGGCGAGTCGGGCTCCGGGCCGTGGCCGCGCCGCAGTCGCCCGGCGCCCCAGGGCACGCAGCCGCCCAGGCCCAGCGCCGAGGCCAGCAGCGCTGGGGGGCGGCCGCGACGGCCCCGGCGCTGGCCCTTCTTGAGGCGCGACCCGTGAGCCGCCAGGTAGAGCTCGGCCTGCGCCACGCCGCCGCTCAGGCGGCTCAGGCTCTCCGCGCGGTGCGCCAGGCGCAGCTCAGCCGCCAAAAAAACGCGGTGCAGCTGCAGCACGCGGCTCTCCAGCTCCGACACCAGGCGCCGGCGGCCCTCCACCTCCAGCAGCCGCCGCCGTGCTTCGGCCAGCTCCAGCGCGCGGCCCCCTGTCCCCGCCGCCGCGCCAGAGCCCCCTCCGGGGCCGGCGAGCCCCGCGACCCCGCTAGCGCCCTGGCGCCAGCGCTGCAGCTCCTGGCCTTCGGCCGCGCCTGCCGAAGCCCCGGCTGCGTCCGGCAGCGGCGGGGACTGACCCGGGGTCGGGGTAGGGGTCAAGGTCGGAGTTGGGGGCGGGGGCTGAGAGAACGGCATGGGCTCCCGGGGCGGCGGCGGCGACCCCGGCTCTGCCGTCCCTTCCTGGGCCCCCGGGCCGCAGGCGCTGATGCGGCAGCCCGGCATCCCCCGCCCCCCGGCGGTCTGCGGCTGTAGGTGCGCAGGGAGGATGAACACCGGGAACCTGAAAAGCGAGACACTGCCACAGCCCTCACCCCAACGCCGCGCCCTCCGCCTGCGCATCTTATAGAATACGAGGCGGAGCGACGGACGGCACAGCCAATCAGAGACGGGCACGCCCTGAATCCGTCCCCACCGCTGCGCATTCAGGACATTGCTGAAACCGTTCAGGTCCTGCCCTTCGTCGGATTCTGCCCGCTAGGGCTTCCAGTTCTCTTTCGCCTCTCCCCAAATTTTGGGTGCAAAGGGAGCCTCATCTTCCCTGGTTAGGCCCCTCAGAGTCATAAGCTCTGGTAGCTGGTGTTTAGAAAATCATGGAATCCGGTCTCCATCCGGGGGAGGGTCTTACCTAAGGCCTCTGTGCGAAGAGAGCCTGGGCTAGAACGCGGGAGGCTTGACTCCTTGTGCAGTGCTCCTCCCACACCTCATGCTGCCCTTGGCCGAATCAGTTCTGCCTGGTCTCTCTTGGGCCACAGGGCTCTCCAGGACCCCCTTCTCCCACCTCACTGGGGCAGCGGAAGGGTTAACGCTGAGGGGCGACTGCCGTCGGGGTGGGACGGAGATCTGGCTGGGCTGATTCCACGATAGGTAGGGTCCTTTATTCGCAGAACAAATACCTCAGCGCTGCCGTTGAGCCTGCAAACCTTGGTGGCATCACAGAGGAGTCCCAGACCCCACGGTGTGCAGAGTTCCTTCCCTGCCCCGGCTCGTGTTTACTCCTCCCAGCGGGTGTTCCTACACCTTTTAAAGAGGGGGAAACAGATTACAGTTTCCTGTAATCCCAGCACTTTGGGAGGTCGAGGCGGGCAGATCACCTGAAGTCAGGAGTTCAAGACCAGCCTGACCAACGTGACGAAACACCATCTCTACTAAAAATAGGAAAAAATTAGCCGGTCGTGGTGGTGGGCGCCTGTAATCCTAACTACTCGGTAGGCTGAGGCAGGAGAATCGCTTGAACCCGGGAGGCGGAGGTTGCAGTGAGCCAAGATCGTGCCATTGGGCTCCAGCCTGGGCGACAGAGCAAGACTCCGTCTCAAAAAAAAAAAAAAAAAAAAAAAGGCCGGGGGCGGGGAACTGACTGGCCAGGTGCGGTGGCTCACGCCTGTAATCCCAGCACTTTGGGAGGCCGAGGTGGGTGGATCACCTATGGTCAGGAGTTCTAGATCAGCCTGGCCAACACGGTGAAACCCCTGTCTCTACTGAAAATACAAAAAAATTAGCTAGGTGTGGTGGCGCACCCCTGTAGTTCCAGCTACTCAGCAGGCTGAGGGAGGAGAATCGCTTGAATTCGGGAGGCAGAGGTTGCAGTGAGCAGAGATTGTGCCACTGCACTCCAGCCTGAGCGACAGAGTAAGACTCAATCTCAAAAAATAAAGAAGGATAAACTGAGACCCTGAAGGGCAGTAGTGCTTTGCCCAATGTCATATTGCCGACTTGTGGCTGAATCCAGATTCTTGAATCTGGACAGAAATGCACCAGCTCAGCCATTCATGCCCTCTGGGGGCTCAGATACCTGGGTCTACTCCTCTTGGTGGAGGGACGTTCCTTATGTGGGACTTTATCTGACGCTTCTCATCTGGCCCTGACAAATGATAGAATGGAGCCCTGCTCACTTTTCCCCCAACAGAAATAAAGCTGTCATACCAAACACTGGCCCAGACATCATGGGCCTGCCTCAGTTTCCATCTACTTGAAGGTGCCATCAGAGATGGGAGGTCTCTGTGGTGGGTGGGGGCAAGGGCCGGGGGTACAGAAACCAGCCCTGAACCCGATTGGGTAGGACTGCAGCAGACCCTGGGCTCAGGAGGACCTGCGGAAAATGTGGCCAGTGTGACTGCTGCAGCCTGAAGAGGAGGCAGATGGCATGCTTGCATGATGTGCAGGATGATGACAGAGCCTCATCCTCCCCCCACGAACACATGTTCTCTAAGTGCTTTCAGGTGTCTTAGATGAGTGAGACTGAGTGATGGGGACTCGTGGGCGAGACAGTTGGGCTCCAAAGAGGCAGCTCAGAAGCGGCTGGGAGAGGAAGGCGGGTGGGTGAGAGGCGCCAGGCTCAGCGAAAAGGAAGGGTGGAGGGATTGGGGAGGTAGGAGGTCAGAGGCCGGGTGCCCAGTGACCAGGGGTGGTGGAGACTCAGTGAGGGGAAGGGGAGGGTTTGGGAGGATGACTTAGTCAGAGGGGAAGAAGAGCTGTTCAGTGACTGCTGAGGCTCAGTGCAGGGAAGGGGCTGTGTGCAAAGGTGCTGGCGGAGGATTGCCATGGGGGAAGGGAGGTTCAGTGAGGGGCATGGGAACTCAGAGAGTTGGAGGGACTCAGTGAAGATGAGGGAGGCTCAGGAGCTACCAGGTTGCCCCCAGCAAGGAGCCTTGCCCTGCTGAATGATGACGTCCCTTTGAACAGTCTCTTTTGTGTCATGCAACCATAGGTCTTTCTCAGGGCAGAAGCCCCTCGTTGCCATGGTGGTGGGGAAATAGACAGGTGTTTTGCCTTCATGAGGCAGATCACTGCTCCCAACTCCTGAAGGACTGATTCAGGGGAAGAAGACTAGGACTTATCCCCACCCCCTACCACTGGCCAGATCCAGACAACCAGTCAGACCTGGGTTCAAAACCCACACACACTGCCCATCTGGGTGACCTTGGGCAAGTAATTTGTCTGAGTGGGAGAAGATGCACAATATATATTTATTGGAGGAATGAATGTTCTCTGTCTCGTGATATCATCCCTAAGAAAGGGAGATTGATAGCCTTCTCTTCCTGATGAGAAACCAAAGCCCAGAGAAGTGAAGAGGCTTGTCCAAGGTCACACAGCAGGTAAATGGCCAAGCAAGGATTCAAACACAGATATGACCCACTCCATGGTCACTCTTTACCTCCCTGTTCTCCGACAATGCTCCCTGCTGCTATCCTCTGGGTATTTCCCATGAGTCATATATATGTATTTGTTTATTGTTAATTATTAATAGTCTCTCCCCTTGACTGGTTTTGCTTATCACTAGAATCCCCTGAAGTCAAGTAGAGTGCCTGGCCCCATAAGGCACTCAATAAACATTTGTCTGAATTGAAAAATGTAGGCTGGGCCAGGCGCGGTGGCTCAAGCCTGTAATACCAGCACTTTGGGAGGCCGAGGCGGGTGGATCACAAGGTCAGGAGATCGAGACCATCCTGGCTAACACGGTGAAACCCCATTCTCTACTAAAAAAATACAAAAAACTAGCCGGGCGTGGTGGTGCACACCTGTAGTCCCAGGTTCTCGGGAGGCTGAGGCAGGAGAATGGCGTAAACCCGGGAGGCGGAGCTTGCAGTGAGCTGAGATCCGGCCACTGCACTCCAGCCTGGGCGACAGAGCGAGACTCTGTCTCAAAGAAAAAGAAAAAAAATAAAAATGTAGGCCGTGCACAGTGGCTCACGCCTGTAATCCCAACACTTTGGGAGGCCAAGGCAGATGGATCACCTGAGGTCAGGAGTTCAAGACCAGCCTGGCCAACGTGGTGAAACTCCGTCTCTACTAAAAATACAAAAATCTAGTCGGGCACGGTGGCTCACGCCTGTAATACCAGCACTTTGAGAGACTGAGGCGGGTGGATCATGAGGTCAAGAGATCGAGACCATCCTGGCCAACATGGTGAAACCCCGTTTCTACTAAAAATACAAAAAATTAGCTGGGCGTGGTGGTGCACACCTGTAGTCCCAGGTTCTCGGGAGGCTGAGGCAGGAGAATCACTTGAACCCAGGAGGCGGAGGTTGCAGTGAGCTGAGATCATGCCACTGCACTCCAATACAAAAATTAGCTGGGCGGGGTAGTGCACAGCTATAATCCCAGCTACTCAGGAGGCTGAGGCAGGAGAATCGCTTGATAGTGCACAGCTGTAATCCCAGCTACTCAGGAGGCTGAGGCAGGAGAATCGCTTGAACCCGGGAGGCGGAGGTTGCAGTGAGCCGAGATTGTTCTATTGCACTCCAGCCTGGGCAACAGGAGCGAGACACCGTCTCAAAAAAAAAGAAGAAGAAGAAAGAAAAGAAAAGAAAAATAACACAGCCGGGCACAGTGGCTCACACCTCTAATCCTAGCTCTTTGGGAGGCCGAGGCAGGCTGATCACCTGATGTCAGGAATTCAAGACCAGCCTGAACAACATGGCAAAACCCCATTTCCACTAAAAATAGAAAAATTAACCAGGCGTGGTGGTGCATGCCTATGATTCCAGCTACTCGGGAAGCTGAAGCAGAATCACTTGAACCTAGGAGGCGGAGGTTGCAGTGAGCCGAGATCACACCACTGCACTCCAGTTTGGGCACAGAGCAAGGGTAGGACGGGTGCGGTGGCTCACCTTTGTATTTCCAGCACTTTGGGAGGCAGAGACGGGTGGATCACGGGGTTAAGAGTCCACGACCGGCCTGGCCAAGATGGTGAAACCCCGTCTGTACTAAAAATATAAAAAAGTTAGCCGGGCATGGTGGTAGGTGCCTGTAATCCCAGCTACTTGGGAGGCTAAGACAGAGAATTGCTTGCGCCCGGGAGGGAGAGGTTGCAATGAGCTGAGATTGCACCACTGCACTCCAGTCTGGGCAACAGAGTGAGACTCCGTCTCAAAAAAAAGAAAGAAAGGAAAGAGAAATAACACACAAGGGTAGAGCTTGCTGAGAATGGAGAAGTCCCCTTCTCCATTCATTCATTTATTCTTTTTTATTTTATTTATTTATTTATTTTCTGAGATGGAGTCTCGCTCTTGTTGCCCAGACTAGAGTGTAATGGTGCCATCTCGGCTCATTACAACCTCCGCCTCCCAGACTGAAACGATTCTCCTGCCTCAGCCTCCCGAGTAGCTGGGATTACAGGCATGAGCCACCATGCCTGGCTAATTTTGTATTTTTAGTAGAGACGGGGTGTCTCCAGGTTGGTCAGGCTGGTCTAGAACTCCCAGCCTCCAGCAATCCACACACCTTGGCCTCGGAAAGTGCTGGGATTACAGGCATGAGCCACCGCACCCAGCTTCTTGTCAGCTTTCTTAACTGGCTTGAGCACCACACTCTCAGAGTGGACAGGAGCC